TCCACAGGACTTGCTGACATTGTTCAAGAGGTTCCGCAAAGATAGCGGAGTTCAGCGATGCCGAATGCAGCCCCGTGACCAGCGACTTGGCCACCAGAGTATGAGTCAGGCTCGGCGAGCTGGTAGTATCTAAAGAAGACACAATATATTCAAGCAGACTGCGTATCGCGGTGACGCCTAAACACGCCTTGAATGAGTTAGTATAGCCCCAGATGGCAACATGGGTTTACTTACCACACTTGCCCCTACAAGGCGTGGTATATACTCTGATGTCAGCACACCTAGCACGAACTTGCTGTCTCGACTTATAAGCCCATCGACAGCAACTCGGGCTATATCGGTTGATAATGCGGCAACTGGAAGCAGCGATGCCAAAAATGTCGCACCCTGACGATGATTAGCATGTGTCCACATTACCGCAGATCCGAGATGAACCAGCACATACTAGCATCTGAACTCCAGAATCAATACCACTCCTGGTGATCTTCTCCCGCAGCTTGGCAATCTTTGAGCCGTTTGCCTTGACCCAGCTTTCTCTCTGTTCTGGCTCAACTCTATCACATATCTCGATGGCCAAACGAATACTCTCGGCTGATTTATCTACCGTTAAGTCACTGCAGCTATCAGAGCAAGCGAGAATGACGCGCAGGACGACGAGGTCCAAAGTTTTGAGACCCCGCTTGGGGCCAAAGAAATGGTTGACGCTTTGTAACCATGACGGAACAAACCGCACACAGCCTTTCTCGGTCCCTGGATCTTCTAAGGATGCCATGCGTGCAAAGGTTGCTAGACAGAGAAGGTTGCCCATGTGGTCACTCAGGTTACGCAGCGTTTTCGTGAGCTCTACCTGAAGGCTAGCCATCACTTCGGACGGGATCTCTTCGAGGAGCCGAGGTGATCTTTTGATGCCATTAGAAATTTGGTTTAGAGGTAGGATGTTTTCTGCACGGGGATCTTCTCCCATTGTACGTATCATCTTTTCCATAAACTGTGTCAAGCGTGCGGGTATCATGAACTCAGGCGGTAGAGGAGACGCCAGGATGGCGGTGCACACCAAAGCATACTAAGAAAGTCAGTCCATGAAGCTCATAGCTCGACAGTATTACTAGCCACCCGTGGCTAGCAATTCTCTTTGAATAAGGGGCGTACGAACCTCTGCCTTGTCATCGCCGATAACACCTTGAAGGAACTGATCGAGAAGACATGGATGTCGCTCCAGCAAAGCATCCCGAACCGCGGGTGCTGAAACTGCCGAAGATCAGCCTAGCCAATGCAACTAATACAAGCAATGAGCTTACCGAATGTCCCAAGTAGAGGTAACGCGAAACGAGAGCGCGATAGACCATCCACGAGTACGTCAACTAGAGCCCCGATTTGACAGGGCTTGTGAGAGGCCCACAGTCGAATGCTTTGTGACGTTGTTGATTGAGTCAAGCTATATAGGTCCTGAATGTGCCAGGGATTAGCAAATAACGCATTGACCTAAGATGTTCGCGTGGAGTAGCGGAGTTTACCTGAAATGAGGGTGCATAAGGGGCGGTAACGAGGCGTTCCACCTCGCGACTCAAGCGAATACTCTGTTGATCTGGCATATCTACTAACCTGACTCCATCTATGGAGTGAGTATCCATGAGCTAATTAATAAGGGCCACAGATAAAATGGGGCGCGCCGTTCCCCACGAGGTTATCGTTAGCTTGTCTTTTGACTGCGGTGGGAAAGATTTGATGTTCTGTATGTAGCCGGTTGCCCCATCAACAACTGGGCGCGGGCCATATGGAGCCTGGCAGATAAGCAAGTGGGGACAATGAATATGATGCAAGAATAGCCGGTGATTGCTTTATCAAAATGTTCCATTGAGCACTATGCATTCACGTTGTCCTTTACAGTGACAGGGTATAGCTTTCTGGCAGGATGATCTACCCTTTTCGGTCCAATCCGAGCCATGTGTGCCTGTTCCTGCCAAGTCGTAGCCTGCCTGTGTTCCTGAGGCACCATCGGAGTTTTGGCCGATCGCGTTCAATGATAAGCAGCAACCCCTCAAAACGTGGGGATCAATCATCGTTGCTCAACCTTCACCAATGTGGGGGTGAACCTACTTTTGCGCACCTCTAGACTTAGACAAGACCATTTCCACTATCCAGCAAAGGCAGGTTTATGGCATTCTACTCGGCCTATTTCCGATATCTGCTGTACGTCTCATCCTTAGCCCCGATGACGTTTCTCCTCGCGCCGAGGCCAAGCTCCTATAACGGGCTACGACTGGATGATCGGAGACCCCATTTTCGGCCTTCGAGGCCTAGTATGTCTTTTTTAACCGGACTGGGAATGTAATATATATTGCTCAATTCAACCCTTAATCTTACAGATAGCAATATTCCTCACTCCCCGTGGATCCGAGCTCGTGAGACAATGCGGCCGCTCAGCCAGGTGCCTCGGGCATTCCCCGCACATCTCCGCGCCCTTCAATGCCGGCCCAGCGCCCTCTCGCCACGCCATTCCTTACCTCTTCAACAAGCAGTGCGTTGGGCTAGTTCAAAGGCAGGACACAAGAATGACGGCAATACTGGACAGGAGAACGGTGCCAATACTGGGCCTTCTGGCAACCGCTCGGGTTCTCGAAATTCAGGCAGGACCCTGTTAGCCTCTGCCCTGGCTGCGGGCGTCGGCTATGCATATGCTGTGACGAGCGGACAGTCCCAGTCTCTGGATAGCAAGCATCCTAAGTATGGATCTGCGAAGGATTTTGAGAAGGTAGAAAACTATCCGGCTCTCCCGTGTTCTTAATATATATATATATATATATGGTAAATCATATGTACTTGACTAAACATCGATTTGAACAAACAGGCCATTGCAGAACTGCGAGCCACGCTTGGCGATGAAATCATCAGCACCGACAAAGACGATCTTCAACAACATGGGTTTTCAGAATGGTCCAGCATCAATGCTGATCGTCTGCCAGTTGCCATTGCCTACCCGGCGAGTACAGATGATGTTTCCAAGATCGCTAAGATCTGTCACAAATACAAAATGCCAATGATACCCTACTCCGGAGGTTCTAGTCTGGAGGCCAACTTTTCGGCCCCTCTAGGTGGATTGACCATTGATTTCGTGACGATGAACAAGATACTTGAGTTGCACGAATCTGATATGGACGTTGTGGTCCAACCGTCCATTCAATGGATGGATTTGAATGAGAAGATTAAGGACAGCGGTCTTTTCTTTCCCGTTGACCCGGGACCGTCTGCAATGATAGGTGGCATGATTGGGACAAACTGCAGTGGAACCAATGCCGTGAGGTACGGGACCATGAAAGACTGGGTAATTAACCTTACTGTCGTGCTGGCGGATGGTCGGGTCATTAAGACACGTCGCCGTCCACGCAAAACTTCAGCCGGGTACAACCTGACAGGAATGTTTGTTGGGTCTGAAGGAACCCTTGGTATTGTGACTGAAGCTACCCTGAAATTGACGCCGATTCCAGAGCAGACTCGTGTCGGCGTGGTGACCTTCCCCACTGTACGTGATGCGGCATCCACTGCCATGCAGCTTGTTCGAAAAGGCATTCAAGTACAATGCATGGAGATTCTTGATGAGATTCAGATGGATGTCATCAACCGCGCCGGAGGAACTGGAAGAACATGGAAGAAATTGCCCACTCTATTCTTCAAGTTCTCCGGCACCAAGGCCGGGGTGGCGGATAGTATTAACCTGACTAAAGCACTCGCGAAGAACAACAACGCAAGCTCGTTCGAATTTGCAAGAGACGAGCGAGAAGCACATGATTTATGGTCTGCGCGAAAACAATCGCTCTGGAGTATGCTGGCGCTAAGAGAGCGAGGATCCGAAGTATGGTCAACCGACGTTTCCGTGCCGATCTCTAGATTGCCAGACATTATTGGTATGCTTTTTGACAACCCAGTACCTGGATGTTAGCTAACCATAGTAGAAATCTCCAAGAAAGAACTCGATGACCTGGGAATCTTTGCCAGTATCCTTGGGCATATTGGCGATGGCAACTTCCACGCAAGTATCTTATATGACCGCACTATCCAAGAAGAAAGGGAGCGAGTGGAAAAGGTTGTGTACGACATGGTTGATCGTGCATTAGAAATGGAAGGCTCTTGCACTGTAAGACATCCGCAACCTGAACTTGTACATGAAAGCATGACTGACCAGTTTCCAGGGTGAACATGGTGTGGGATTGGGTAAAAAAGATTCACTGAAAAAGGAGCTTGGCCCAGCCACGATTGGAATTATGCGTTCCATCAAGAAGTCTCTTGACCCACACTGGTTATTGAACCCTGGCAAGATCTTCGATTATGAGGACGAAGCATAGATGGCGCGATCTGCTCTCTCAGCCGAGGATGGCATATGCATAGTAAATAGGGGCAGGCAAAAGACTGTACATATCAATGGCTAGTTTCATCACTTTCAACTATATCGACCCCATCCACTTAAGGTCTAGTTCGAGGCCCTAAAATGATGCCATTCACATTTCTATAAAATCGGAGCAATCGACCAATCAGATTGGCGGAGAATGCTACGGAGTGGTTAGTCAGTCAGTAGTGAGGGCTGAGTCACAGCGGGGCAGATGTGCTCCGGAGCGATATCGCAGTTTTAATCGGTAACGCCACTCTTGTCCCTTTCCAACTTCCGCATCATTGTCCAAGAGGTGAGTGCAATTCGTTTAGTCTGCTCATAGTTCAATCACATTGTGGTCATTGCAAAGCGACTCGTTTGTCTACGGTGTCATAAACTTCAAAAATGCCGATGGTGGAGATACAACTGTGCTTTCATCCCTTGCGGGGCTCCGTCGGTTAAGGCGCTGCAACCGGATGTTGGCCATGTCTCCCCGTGAGCATGTTCCAATTGAGATTTTTGATGCCAATGCTTTTGTTTAAATCATCCATCGTTGTCTCATTGCCTATAAAAGACGTGTAATTGACAACCGTCAGATTACGAGAATCGCAGAGCGACCTACTCGATATCAAATAAAATGGCCTCATATCCTAAGAAGAAGTGCGGTATGGATACAACACTCGCGATTCATCTGTGGCTGCGTTGCTGATAATGTCCAGGTGTTTTGGGCGCCACTGGCTCCGTGGGCCAGCGTTTTATCCTCCTGCTTGCCGACCACCCTTTCCTGGAGCTGCACGCCGTCGGTGCGTCTGAGCGCTCTGCGGGCAAACAATACAAGGATGCCGTGAGATGGAAGCAGTCTACGGCTATGTCGGAGAAGCTTAGCACACTCGTCCTTCGTGACTGCAAGGCTGAACAGTTCGCTGACTGCGATCTCGTCTTCTCTGGACTCAACAGCGACATTGCGGGTGATGTTGGTATGTGGTTCTTTGCCCAGGCGACAATACTACCTGCTGATCACAACTGTTACAGAGATGGAATTCATCAAGGCCGATATCCCCGTCTTCTCGAACGCGAAGAACTACCGCAAGCACCCTCTCGTCCCTCTCGTCGTCCCCACCGTCAACCCCCACCACCTGGACCTCATCCCTCACCAGCGCAAACACTTCGGCCTGAAGAAGGGATTCTTGGTTTGCAACTCTAACTGCGCTGTCATTGGTGTTGTCATCCCGTTCGCTGCCCTGCAGGCCAAGTTTGGTCCCGTTGAGGAGGTGGAAGTCTTCACCGAGCAGGCTCTCTCTGGAGCTGGTTACCCGGGTGTCCCCAGCATGGACATCCTGGACAACGTCATTCCTTTCATCAGCGGTGAGGAAGACAAGCTTGAGAACGAAGCCCAGAAGATCTTGGGCTCCTTGAACGCCGATGCTACTGCTTTCGAAGAGCAGTCCGGTCTCCGTGTTGGCGCCACTTGCACTCGTGTTGGAGTCACTGACGGTCACATGGCTTTCGTTTCCTTGCGCTTCAAGAACCGCCCCGCTCCCAGCGCAGAGCAGGTGGCCCAGGCCATGAGGGAGTACCAGTCGGAGGCTCAGAAGCTGGGCGCTCCTTCTGCACCCGCGCAGGCTATCCGGGTGTTCGACGAGCCCGACAGACCCCAGCCTAGACTGGACCGGGACATCTCCAAGGGCTACACCGTTAGCGTCGGACGGGTGCGCGACGGCAATGAGGGTGGCTACTTCGATCTCCGCTTCGCTGCTCTTTCGCACAACACCGTTATCGGTGCTGCTGGATCGTCCATCCTCAACGCGGAGGTTGCTGTCATCAAGGGCTACATCTAAAATTGTGAAAAGATCTATGGCATATAGCGATTAGACGGCGTCAGATATCCTTTTGTTTCTAGATATTTCAGCTACTAAAAGCAAAAAGCATTGAACAAGAGTCCAATACTATTAAATGAAGCCTAGACCCAGTATTGATTATGTAACACATGTGACCCACCAGGCTAGTACTGGTCGGGATTAGTGGGGCTGGGCTAGAGAACAGTACTAGTGCTAGGGCTAAGCCCCGCTGGCACCAGCCGCTAAGCGAAAAATGCAGATGGGCTGGATATCAGCCGCTGAAGTCCTTGTTCCGTCTCTTTCTTTCCCTTGCGACACTTCGACAACTAACCGGTTCAAGTCGACAAAGCAGCCAAGATGCCTCGCGGACCGTGAGTTACACGCCCTACGCTTTTCTTATTGCACGAAGCGAGATCATCGGTGGAATTGCGTTTTCACCGTTTTTCGTCGCTACGGCAGAAGAATTGAAGATTTTGAGGAGTTGAATACTAACCACCATGCTTCGTACAGTAAGAAGCACCAGAAGCGCCTTAGCGCGCCTTCTCACTGGCTCCTGGACAAGATGTCCGGAACCTATGCCCCCAAGGCCTCCCCCGGTCCTCACAAGCTCCGGGACTGCCTGCCCCTGATCGTCTTCATCCGCAACCGGTACGACCCATCCAACGATTACGAGAGGAACGAAGAGAATTCGAGGAATCGGCGGACTGACAGGTTTATAGTCTCAAGTACGCCCTTAACGGCCGTGAGACCAAGGCGATCATGATGCAGCGTCTGATCAAGGTCGACGGCAAGGTCCGCACCGACCCTACCTACCCCGCTGGTTTCATGGACGTCATCGGCATCGAGAAGACCGGCGAGAACTTCCGTCTCATCTACGACACCAAGGGTCGCTTCACCGTCCACCGCATCCAGGCTGAGGAGGCCGAGTACAAGCTCTGCAAGGTCAAGCGTGTTCAGCTCGGCAAGGGCGGGATCCCATTCTTGGTTACGCACGATGCGAGAACGTGAGTGCATACTCTCTACAAGTTCCGCGTCATTCAGTCGTTGGACCAAGCTTTGGTTGATCGGCGGAGGACGACAGAACTAGAATCGCAGTTCTTTGCTGGAACACAGTAAGGAGCCGCAACGTGAGAACAAAGCGTGCTAACAAGGGCTTTTCTTATAGCATCCGTTACCCCGATCCCGCCATCAAGGTTAACGACACCGTGAAGATCGACATTGCCACTGGCAAGATCGCCGACTTCGTCAAGTTCGACACTGGTGTTGTCGCCATGGCCACCGGTGGTCGTAACATGGGTCGTGTCGGTGTCGTCACCCACCGTGAGCGCCACGATGGTGGTTTCAACATCGTCCACATCAAGGACGCTATTGACAACACCTTCGCCACCCGTGAGTCCAACGTCTTCGTCATCGGTCAGGACAAGCCCTGGATCTCCCTGCCCAAGGGCAAGGGTGTCAAGCTCTCCATCGCCGAGGAGCGTGACCGCCGCCGTGCCCTCCAGTAAATGTGGCATGGTAAGTGATGTAGGCTGCCGGAAAAATAAAAGCGTTGAAAAATTCCGCTGTGGCGATGACATCTTGTCTTGCTTTGTGGACCTGTATGACGCCGGTTACGATAATTATATGAAGCGTTATCCAGAACAAAAAAAGAGAAAGAATTGTCTACAGGACACAAAGTTACACCTGTTAACTACTGTACCGTAGACTTGTACACTAAAGCAAGGTCAAGATGCCAAGTCTGTCTGCCTGTGATTGTATGATACCATTAATTCTTTAAAGTCCTTAGTTCATTCCTTTCCTGGAATTTGTAACTGGGCCAGTTGCAGTAGGACATTTCTTATTCTTACCACCTCCAACTTCCCTCGTCCCCCTTTGCTTTGTCTATTTCCCCGACCCATTCACAGAGCAACTCCGCCGGATACTCCCGTGCCACCCCAGCAGATCTATCTAATCCATGGTAAGACTCGCGCAGATGCTACTATCTGGACGGCCCATCGCCTCGAGTCCACCCTGTCGTGACCTCTAACAGGGATGCTACGGTGCTGGGGACAACAGGGTGGGATGGTAGATGCAATCCATTCATGGGTCCTGGGAAAAAGTTTACGTCTCACATCCCAAGGCGGGAGCCAACCGATCCAAAAGGGAAGCTGCACTTGGAGATGAATGAACAGTGGCTGGAGCAGTTGGCCGAAGTTGATCTGGTGCAGTGGTCGACCCATCGGACTATGAGGAATTGCGAGTCTTGGGGGGTCTCCTGTGCTGCCTTGGTTCCGTTGAAATCAGCCAACCGAACATCTCCTTTAGCCCATCTACTCTGTACAAGGCTACAAGTAGGAATGTAACACGTCAACTGGGCTGCTGCAGGTCAGTATGGATCTTCTCCTCATCTTTCTCCTCTCCTCTTTTTCTCTTCCCCTCCTCTCCCTATTAGCCGTGGGGGGTAGTGGACTAGGAGGGATTTAGCGAGAAGAGACGGGACCTAGAATGGGAGAACAAAAATAATAATAAAAAAAATAAATAAATGTGAGTTGTTGCGTGGGATGAGGAGACGATGGAGTATTCGACGGACGGACTGTATCTTAGTTCTTGGTTGCTGATGCCGGTGCAGATTGCAGATGCCGCTCTAGTCGCACTGATGGGATGGGATGATAAGAGAGGAATTGATTCATCTGGATACATCCTCCTGCCGGCGCCCCTTTGGCCCGATTCCTCCCCTCGATCCTCGGCATATCAGAGGAAGCGCCAAACTAATCGGGTGCTGACCATGCAGACTTAGCCACCATGTCGCATGGGTTAGTTTGCGTTAAGTCAACTGACAAGTCATCTTGACCTAGTCGATCTCGCTGTGATTGATAATTGATATTCGACCATCGCCGTGGTCGGACTTTCCTTCGATCCACGCCTTCTGGCGCTCGGGATGGTTCGGTTAAGCTCAGAAAACAGGATCAAGGGGGGAAAGATGGGGTTGCGATCCATCACTTGCGGGTTGCGCCTTTGCTTGAATGTTTTCTTTTTCCACCTCCGTATCTTATTCCCCTCTGTCCACCTTCTCCGCTCTCTTTTCCCCCTTTGTCTGGGAAAGGCTTGCCCACCATCTTCCGTTTGTGGATGGAGGTGCCTTAGGGTTCTTGGATGTCTCTCGGCCATGTCAGGCAGGATACCGGCAGGATTCGTCCGAGGGATCGAGGCGGCACGATCATCGAGGGAAAGGTGGCATCGCACACACTTGTATCACAGTGTCCGTTGCTCAGTCCAAGGGTATTCACATATTGCTTCCCCCGCGAGCCCTGGAAAAAGCAGAAGATGCTCGGCAGTGGTCTTCTCTCCGTTTGGTAGATGAGTACGAAGGTTATATACCTACCTGGCCTGTGAGCGAGGCTTTCGAGATGTTTGTCTCAAGCCACGGTGACATAGCCCACCCGTTAACTCGCTTCTACACACACGCACTCGTCCACGCACACCATACATACTTCCTTAGCCTCCGAGCCAGGCTCATGCATGCTGCACGTCCGGAACCAATCCGGGTCTAGCAGGCCACGTCTATCTGGATGGACAGGTCGCTGTCCGGGAATGGTGACCAAGCTATAATGCTCCTCACATAGTGATCAACTATAGGCTCTGGCTGTAAGCAGCCCCCACGCATCTGCACGGCAGATGGCTTGTGAAAGCGATTGTTTTCGCACAACGTCACGTCACAACATGCGGGAAACACAGAGAACAATCATGTAGGTATGTATGTAGACATCATATGTAAGTAAGCGGGCGTGTTGGAGACGGGGGACCAGGCAGCCGAGTGACAACATGGCTACGGACTACGAGCGGTGGTTATCTAGGGTTTGGCAAGGTCCTGACAACCGTTGCGCTCTTGCAGAAGGACTCCTCCCGCCTACATACAAGCCCAGTCAGCCACCCATCAATAGTTGTCGCTTGCCATGGCTGTGGCTATCCGCTCCGAGTCTGGACCTCCCGGGCCGTGCAAGTAAGTACAGGGGCGTTGAGGTTCCAGGTCACCCTCTCTGCATGCGACAGCTCAGCGACACAGCCCTGTCTTTGCAGGATGGTAACCATACTGGCCTAGACGTAGAATCCGGCGAGGAAGCAAAAGTGGTGAGTCGTGACACAGGATGGAGGGAAGGAAGGAAGCTTCAATTCTTTCACTTCTTGGACATCCCTCTCTCTCCTGAAAGGGACGCCCCGTGGCCGCGAAAACGGCGGCGGAATGAGCGGGTCTCGACGACTAGGGTCATCACGGAATACATTGGCCGGAGTACTCCGGTCCAAAGTCCAAGATGAAGATGTCTTACTCTTCCTGGGATGCTTGTGAATGGCACAACGTGGAGGGAAGCCGTGTGCAGCGGCGCTGCCGTGGCTATCTGCAACCCGCAAGTTCCGGCGTCTGATGATTGCAGCAGAATTGATTCGGATGGCTGATTTCTAACTTTTGGTTTCTATTCTGCCTCTTGCTGTGACCCATCGACAATATTGCCTCCTCCTCCCATAGTGGATGGAAAGACGTCTAGTCTAATAATTCGACAGTAAGTTGATGCCGGGCACACCAGGGTTTTCTCCCAAGCGGGGCCCCTGATTCCAACCTCTTGTTGCCCTGCGCCACAATATCTGGCTGGTCTCTGGTAGTCTAGTCTAGTGGATGGAAGTTTCGGGGTGGAGATGCTATGCTCGATCATCGAATCCCGCCATGATTTTCCACCCGAAGGCGAAGTTTAGCTTGTCTCGATAGTTTCCAACCTTCTGGTATCCACGCGTTCCTGAGAGTTAGGATCAATTAAGGCACCAGGTACCGTGGAGAAGCAAAGAGGGAAGAATATTGAAGGATTTACATTCCTTCCTTCATTGATCGATTGGAATACACCAGACGAACAGAGCAATTGAATTGTTCTTCTTTTTCTCTTGATGGTGGATCCTGCTTGGCGAAAAGACACCCACCGCCACGAGTTCCTCCGCTACTGCTCGAATCCCCATTGACTCCCATTCTCATTCTCCAGACTACTACTTACTCTCCTCTCTCCTCTCACTTGCTATTGGTATTATGGTCAATCCTTCCTGGGTGACCGAATCCACATCTGTCTGCCCCCCGGTCTGTGGGACATGCAACGTCGGCTGTTGAGGGTAACACTGGCGTGGACACGTCCGAGGACTGCAGTCTAGCTAGCTCTATCTATTCATTCCCCAGTCCGCCGTCGTCATCATTCAATCCTGGGAGGTGGACTGGACTGGAGTTGAGAATCGTAGAAAAAATAACAGAAAAAAGAGGACCAGCCAATGATGATGAACCCGCGAGGTCAATCAGGCCATCTGGGGGCGCTAGAATGGAAGCAGACTCCAATTGTTCGCCCAGAAGCAATCCCCCCGATCGCCATCGCCCCGATCAGCGGCGATACGCTTTTCTGCATTGCACTCGCTTCACCCACTAATTTAGTCGCAGCTGTAGCAAGAGAGGTTGCTAGCCACCCGATCGTTTATTTTATTTTATTTTATTTTTTTTCAATCTTACACAAGAGATGGATACGACTAGACTATCTACGTACCTAGCAGGCTGGAGATATTCGTGTACGACCAGCTTTCGACACAGCATTCCTGTCTGGCCAGCTAAGCTAGGAAGCTAGCTACTGTAATGGGTTCCCACAGCGGGATTGGAGGATCAGCCCTTCATGCTTCGACATCATCATCATGACTGTGACAACGATGGCTTTGGCTTTGCTTTGCCTTTTGCCTCTGGCTTACTCTCAGCCGTGCTCCTGGCGCTTGACGAATGTCGCCTCTCGCTCAGCTGCTCCTACTGTAGTCTAGCTACTTACTGCTCAGTGGCTCGACTGCCTCGTCTTCTCCCGCGAGGCTGATGTATAGTTGACTTCATTAATATCCTGTCATTGTACACCGCTACGGCTCTGGAACACGAACAAGATTGATCTCTCTCTCTTTCTTTCTTTCACACAGTCTCTTCCTCTGTGTCTGGTCTCATTGCCGATGAGATGCGGCCCCAAGTGAACCTTCCAGAAACCGAAATAGTCCTGCATGACCAGGACCCTCTTGGGGTGCTGTTGTGCACGCACTGTTCCATCTGTTCCCTCTTGCTCCATCCATCTTCTTGACCGCTTCTCTTTCTTCTCTGTAGTGTGTATGATTTCTCTCTCACTCCAATTTCCTTTTTGGATTTTTATCCAATTTTTATTTTATTTTATTTTCTTGTTCCGTCTTTCTGAATATCCAATTTCAATTTAATTTAATTTTTCCTTCTCTGAATATTCTTTCAATTCTATTTTATTTTGTTTTATTTTATTTTATTAATTATTTCTAATACCTCCCTTCTAGGGTTATCTCATATTTCTATTCCACTCTAGAATACTACCTGTTTGTTCCACTGGCCCGCCGTTGGCTGGCGTTCTTTATTATTGTTACTATTATCGGTCCTACTATTGCCAACGGCCCCGATTATTTATGGAGACGACGATTATTGATGCTTGAATCCGGTTTATTATTCACAGCCCATGTGGGGAGGGTCTGCTCGGCTGCTCCTAGACGGGCCCCAAGACCTAACGGTCCTTCCAGGGGCCCGGAGTATGCATTCCTTCCCTTGGCCACCAGTCGAGGATTAAATGATGCGACGGCCAACTGGCTTGATTGGAGTCGTCGGCCCACCGCTAGGCCCTGGCCATGATTTCAGCTCCTGTATCAAAAGGTAATCTCCGTCCCTTTAGCCTATCCTGGCTCCCGGGTCCCAGTGGTTCGGATCTGGATCAGCCCTCGTCTGCCCTTCTTCTTTCTGTCCTGTAATGCGCCACTTGCCGCCATGCTTTCTGGCCGCTCGGATGCCACAGGCAGCAGTAGCAGCAGCAGGAGGAGCAGCATTATTGTGCTTCGTTGATGGGAGCTCTCCTCGCCTATCCAGCTGCTCTCCCCCGTGAGTTGTCAAACGTGGCAAAAGGTCTTGAAGAACGGAAAGTAGTCTGCACCAGCTGAAGGACGATAAGGTCTATCATCCGTCGTGGCCAGCTTTCTGCAGATTTCTCAGGTGTAATGCACGGTGCAATACAATAGAGCTAGCTGTTTGGATTAATCCCCTTATCTGGTTTTCTACTTCTGTTTCTGTTTCGGTCCCTGTTCCCGGTCCATTCAATACACCCTCGTTCAACCTGCTGGAAGCCGGCCGGTGTGCCCTCGTCAACGTCCCTTTTTTTTTTTACCTTCCTTTGTGTACATTTGGGCTCGAGCCCTCTCGTCCTTCCGGTTTCCGTGAGGTTAGTCCCCGGCCTGTTTCATCTGACGTCGTCTATTCCCCTGCCCTATATGCCTGATCCTGGGGGGCCGTTCTAGAATGTTGATATCAATACCTGGCATCGGGAAGGGCTTGGTTCCGATCATACATTCACATTGGTAGTACACCTACAGGGATAAAAGGACCCCGGGAACAAGGCAACGGTGTCCGCTGCTACTTATTTCGTCACTATGTTGTTCTGTTGCTGAATCGTAGTCTCCTCCAGTTGTCAAAAGGGACCGTCCGTTCCCCTTCGTCGTTGCTTGAACCAAGGTCCCGCGAGCCATCTTGACTGTTTCTGGCATGTCTGCGTATTCACCTTCGGCCAGCGTGCCGTTCCCAGGCACGGGACAGCCGACCTACCTGGAACTGTTTCCCTCGGGCGAGGTTCCCCAGACCTTCTTCACGTATCGGTGGTGGGAGGACGAGGCCACCACCGTGTTCTGGGCCTTTGATCCCCATGAGATCAAGCGGGTGATCCGATTCGGACTCTTTCGAGACAGCAACCTCCCGCGAAAGTCTCTTCAGAAACGCGATCCCCAAGCCATCACCGCGTTTCTGTACTCGCTCGTGGAGCCGCACGAGACGGCATTTATTGACAACCTGTCCCATTATCAGAAGGTCGAGGAAATCATTCGACGATGTCAGATCTCCGGCCCTCCACTCGAACCTTGGAGCTGGCTTCCTACCAAGCGGGATAGTGACATGCCCTCGATAGCAATAGCAGAAGCCATCGACACGGAGAGTCATCTGCATTTCACACGGATTTCGTTTGAGGAACTCGTCCGCTACTTCTTGGGCTACCGAGCACACTCGGTAGAGTGGTTTTTACAACAACATACGGCGCTGTACATCCACTTGCTCAACTATTTGCAAATGTTTCCAGAGGAGCTGGGGAAGTACAAAGAGGTGGAACAGGTATGTGATTGATATTTGGCATGATGCTCTGCTGCCAAGTACTGACACTGGACTAGCATCTTCAGACTCGCAGCCCATTCGCCCACCGTGCCGTGAACCGGTGCCTACACGCCTTGAGACAGCCAGTCCCAGCTAGCACGCCTTACCCGGGCTTCCAATTTATCGCAGCGCCTGTTCAGCAGCTATTCAAGGAGCATCTGCCGAGTCTGAAAGCCATTCTACTTGAGCTCTCGGTATTGGGGGTACGGTTCACACGAACATACATCCACGCCCGGGAGATGAACTGGACGAAGCCATTTTCGGTCGAAATTCCCCTGCTCGACGAGCTAGATTTGACGAACCCAGCACCGGCTCTAGATTTCGCCAAGACTACCACCGCCCTCGACGAAGAATACTTCTCCGGGTTGAGTCAGAAGAGCTTCGTGGAGCCAGACGCCATAATCAAGCGACTCCTAGTGCTATGGGAGCTGCGAAGCCTGGAAGTGTGGGAATGTTGCACGGGACTACCGGACATGATAGGCTACATTCAGGAAATTGTCGAGGTAGACCACACCCATCCTCTCTGCAGGAGTGCATAACAAAGAATCACGTACTGACAACCACAGGCCCTCTACACCTACCGCAATTACCACTCGTTCACGGCGATTCTCAGCGGTCTGTACAAATACAGCACGTCCAACCCGACCTTCACGCACACGGACAGCGCCACCAACCGGATGACACTGACTCCGGTGCTGCCCCCTGCACTAGCGTGCCTGCTGGACCCAACGGAGAACTTTGTGGCCTACCGACAGGAGTTCCAAACGTCGCCGGGCCTCCCTTTCCTCTTCCCGCACATTAGGGAGTACCAACAGCACGGCCCGCCAGCCCTGCACCAACTGTTCCAGCAATTGCAACGTCAGGTACCCACCAACTAGACTAGTAGCACACACGTGGCGTGGTCTGAGCTTGGGGCAATAACAGATGTCATCTAGACGCAATGGATGAATGGCTAGGCAGCAAACAATATGGGGGGCAGTAATATGACGCGTACTGGGCAGCAGAGGTAGGATGAGCAGGAAACAGAAGCAAGTAAGCCGCTGACTGATTATTATGACGATTTCTTTTATTCCTTGTCTTGATTCAATCTGGTCTGGTTAATGATGTCTTGTTTTCCTTTCGTCTTGTGATCATTCCCCCTTTTTCCTTCTTTCTTCTTGATTTCGGATAATCCCTGTTCTCTTTTCCTTTCTTTCTTTGGGCATGTATTTCTACCACCACTACTACTACTCATAGTATACTGGCAATTCCTTCATTGAAAATTGAATTTAGACCTTGAGCTTGGTGCATGCATGCACTTCCTTTGATCCGAACCGGGGTCATACTTAGTTAACTAAACGACCAGTCATGGGATAGATAGGATACAGCCAGCCGAAGATTCACAGGGTTAGGTAGGTAGGGGTGGGGATGGTTGGTCTAGACCATTGCCAATAGTCTATCTATTCTTGATAAAGAGTTAGTTGGATCTGTTATAGTAAGCTAGGCTGGAAGTAGAAGTTAGTCTGTTAGTAGTTACGGTAGCTTAGTTAGATAGATAGGGGAAGGGGTGATGATGATGATGAGGGTGTAGTAGTGGGTAACTATCGGATAACTCCGAGCGGGTCAAAGAAAGATAGTTTAGTTTGGAATTGAAAGGGGAAGGTTAATCGGTATACTTCCCTTTTACTACTGCGAGAAAGGGTAAATGTCGATCTCAATGTCATATCATCATCTATGTATGACCATGTCCTGTTTAGTTGTCTACTGACTACTTACAACGGCGATTGATAATCCCCGGGTCCCCGATATCCATCCATCCATCCATCCATCCATCCATCCATCCATCCCATACTACCTACACTGTATGTACACCCAACACATCAACAGAACCCAACTCACTGTCCCTTCCTCTTCACCTTCTCCCCATCACCACCACCCACACCCCCAAACCCACCCCCAAGCACCACCACCCTAGACCCAAAGAGCGCCGCCGTAACACCCACATTCCCCCACGTCAACGCATTCCACTCCGCCACATCCACAAACCTCTCCCACCCCATGGACCACCCCGCCGCCAGGATATGAGTGAGATCCGCCACCGCCAAACACACCAGATAGTTTCTGAGGACTTTGGGCTCCGAGGTGCTGTGGATCAGGGCGACGCCGAGCAGCGCCAGCAGGAAGTAGATGTTGGAGAGTTGGTAGGCGAGGGAGAGCGAGGACGGGGTGATGGTTCCGGTGGTGTCGGGGTTGTGGGGGATTTGGGACAGGATGAAGGAGGTGCTGTCGAGGTGGGGGTAGAGGGAGCCGCCGATTCTGATGCATGTGGTTAGTTTTGGGGGATGAGGGGGATTGGGGTAAGACGTACAGGGAGATGGGCTCGAAGATGCCATATATTAGGTAGGGGATTGGGGGGAATATGCTGGGTGGCATTTTGTTGGAGATGTTGCTAGGTTGTATGTTGTATGGATGGGGAGAGGTGAGAGTTGAGTTACTAGTATATGGAGTACGGAGGAGATGGATAGCTGATTACTGCTTTGGGCATAGTGGGGATGATATAGGATGATAGTTGGTTCTATGGGATGGAGTTGGTGGATTGATGGGGTTGCAACTGATATTGAACTTATTGAATACTACTGTACAGTATGTATGTACACCGCTATATTCTGGATTGCTGTATTGGGATATTTCGCATTCTTATAACTACTTGCAAACATTTTATGAATAGGAATCAAACTGGTGACTGCTTTGATAATTGAATACTTGTCAAGTGAGCCATTGGGATAGTGCATGTTACTCAGTGTACACTATCCATCTCACCTATAGCTTTTCATAAGCCCTTATATCTATTCAACATGTACCATGAGATATATTATAGTTAATATCTTCAGCTATACAAGTACTTACCTACATTGGTTATAGTCAACAGTAACTACTGCTCCCAGTGAAAGAGAGAGAGGGTTGTCTGCTGACTCATCAGCCGCCCGCCTGTACGTTAATCAAGTCTGATCAATTCATCCACCTTCATCTGCATCTTCCCCAACTATCATCATCCGTGAAAATGGCAGTGGCATCTCCCTCCTCCTTCTACATGGTGCTCTTCATCCCTCAGTGATCATCCCCTGAATGGGTGTATGGGTGCCCCGCCATGGATTCCAACGGCTCCTATACCCGCTCCTTCGACGAATCCTTGATTCGCGAATTACCCCAGCTTCAGTCTCTCCGCATTGCTCCCCTCCGTCAGCCGGTGTCTCGCCTCTTGGCTGTGCCCTCCCCGCTCGAACCCAATGCCAGTCACGTCCGGGAACCCTCCAGTAGCAACAATCCCGGCATCCTCCCTGCCCGCAATGACTCGGCCCAATCTGGAGCCTCCGAAGGGGCGGCTGCTCCCCGACCGAAGAAGTCGGATGCCCCTGCGGACTCCCTCCCCAGCCTGGAGGCGCCTCCCCGGCCAATTCTCCCAGCTTTTGTCAATCTCCGTGCTCTAGAACGATACCCTTACTCCTCGTTTGATGACGACACCCTTCACTTCCGCAAGCGCAGGCGTTTGGGCGGTCAGGCGGACACGTTTAGTGAACACCTGCAGTTGCCTATTCCTCAGGCACAAAAGGAGCAGCGTCCGCCGCCCTTCGGCCCTTTTGCTATCCTCAATGGTCTCAACGAGCCACCTCCCAATGCGGCCTTGCTTCCTCCAATTGAACCCGGCTCGATCACACAGCTACTGACCAAACCGTCTCGAGGCAGCGAGGCTGTGGAGCCGGGCTTACTCACTGCTAATGCTGCAGATAGCCAGATTGCGGAGCGACGAGAAGGTCGCATCGAGGAGATCCTTGATTCTCCGGTCGACAAAGCGGCGGACGGCGATATCGCCAGTGGACTGCTGGACGATGTCGCTGCAGCGGAACGGACACGAACCGAAAAGACAGACACTGAGACTGACAATAAAGACGCCTCCGCGGAGGACAATACCGAGCCGCTGTCGCCTAAAACGCGGGGCCGGTCCCGCAAGAACCTTCGTAAGTGGACCGAGGAAGAGACGACTGCTCTGCTGCGAGGGGTGGTCAAGTGCGGCATCGGCAACTGGACAGCGATTCTGGCCCAGCCGGAGTTGAAATTCAACAAGCGTAGCGCATCCAATCTGAAAGATAGGTATGGTATAGCCATGTGGACGTGGAGGAGACACTGGATGCCAACTAAGTTAATCTAGGTTTCGTGTGTGTTGCCCCTGGGCATATCGGTGAGTTGAACGAGACTGTCGATTGTGCACATCTAATCTATCAAGGGCCGCGGATCCCAATGAAGCCACCAAACAGCTGCATGACACGCTCGCGAACGCTCTCTCGCGTGCCGAAACCGAAGGGACCGACGGACAAGCGGGGAAGATCCATCTCCCACACCCGCGGGGGGCTAATACGGAGGCCAGTGGCGCTGCGGCGAATGAGGCCAGCAGCTCAAAAGATGCTGACTCGAAAGGCAGCAAGGCCAAGAGCAGCACCTTGTCTAAGACTACCCCTACGCTCTCTAGTAGATCCAAATCCACGCTGGCGTCCCTGGGCATCCCGGAGCCGCACTTTACGATGAAGTCGCGGCGTCGCTCACGCCGCCCGTTTACCGTGGTCGAGGACGAAGCGCTGCTGAAAGGCTACGCCGTGCATGGCTTCCAGTGGACTCTGATCCAGCAGGACAAGCGATTGAATCTGAGTCATCGCCGGGCCACGGACCTGCGAGACCGATTTCGGACCAAGTTCCCGCACGCCTACCGGGACGGAGGGTCCGTGAGCGGACGATTGCCAGGGGGGAATCCTGACCCTGGAAAGCAGCATGCTGCACGGGGATCTGCTCGCGGGCAGGCGGAGAGCGGCAATGCGCGCGGGCCAATTGATCCAGCGCTGTCGCCTCCAGCCCCGCCGCAGGGACTCCACGAGAGCACGAGCAGTGCGGGGGTATTTTCGTTTGCGATGGACGAGAATTCGGGGGTGGATGCGACGTGGGCAGATAATACGTTGGCGCCGATGTGGGATGAGCTTGCATAGTGAGCTGCATAGCGAGCTGCATAGATACTGCATAGCTAGTGTAGTTGCATTTAACAGTCAGTAGAGATGTGTTACCGACTAATTGTAGGCAGCATAGTAAATTGCATGGGAGTAGTCTGAAGATGCTCAGGATGATAACAGCTTTTATGCTAAGAACAGACAGACATGAATGACAGAACAGACACTGATTGCAAAAGGACAACAGAACGCTAGTTACATGATATCCGCCAGACAAGACAGAATGAAAGATGAACAGACGAATACTACCTTAACCCGCAATTGCGAATGTATTCCCTCCCACCTTACACCACACTCTTCTCATTCATTCTCCCATATCCCCCTCCTTTATCACCTCATATCCCCAACCCACTCACCCCTCCATCCCTCCCCCACAGTACGAAGTACGTACCAATCTACCACGCATTCCGATCCCAATTCGGATCTACACAAAACCACAGTTAGCCATACACCCCCACCCCAAATATACAATAAATGAAATAGAAAGTGAAATAGAAATCATACCCTGCACAAAACTCGCCAAAACCTTACTCCCCGTCTGCAACAACGGATGCCCCGCCACAATCTGCAAGAATCTCTGCAACCCCTCCCGTCGATGCTCAATCACATCATCAGAAAACCGATTCGTGAATACCTTCCCCGGCAGCGGCGGGATCGTGACCCTCGTCGACTCCCGCTCGAGTATATCCCGGAAGTACTCGAAATCGGAGTATCGGCGCCTTACGACGGAATGTTTCAGTTTGAATGCGGGGATGTTGGTTCGGCAGACGATTTCGTAGGACGTGTACATGTTGCGGGAGGTGCCGTGCGTTTGGGGGTTTCGGACCTGTTTTTCCATTTCATGGGTTAGATTGGGGGGAGAGGGGGGGAGGGGGAATAGAGGGGAAAGGGTACTTCTATCTCGAGGAAGTTTTCCGGAGGGCCGTAGATCTCCTCGAAGGTTTGTTGGCGGGATTCGGGGACGGCTTGCATCTTGTTCTTTGGATTTTCCCTTCGGGGGGTTGGTTATTCGTTGGTGTGTTATGTCTGTCTCTGTTGGTGTAGAGAGGGTAGTGGTGGTTGGATGCGGGGAAGCTCGATGCGTTTTACTTCCAGGTGGTGAAAGTGGTGGAGTAACTCCGGGGTTAGATTATATTCTGCGGTATTGGGGAGTTCCCGTCGCTGATAGGGATCAATTAGAGACGAAGAGGGTGAGTGAGTGAATCACCACGGTTCGAGTAAACAGCAGGGGTATCTAAATTCAAGAGAGGGTTGTAGGCAGATGACGATAAGAGGGGCTGGAATTCCCGCCGATCGGGTTATCGGTGCATTGTTGCTCCATTCCGCTGTCACTACTTAGTACTTCAGCGATAGCAGTAGTATTATCTAGAATCTTGTATGTATGCTATCTGCTTCTTATTGATAAGTAATATGATAAGCTAAAACTACCAACCAACTCCTATACTCAAACTATAACTACATATGCAGACAAGCAAGCAATGAACGAAAACAGATTTCTGCAGACCCTTAATTGTCTAATACACCCTAACAGATAATAAAAACCAATTTCCCCGAACCCGCGCAATGAAACCCAGATATTGATAGAGCAGAGAAATGAGAGATACGAGGAAAGAAAAGAAAAAAAAAAAAGGGAGGTGTACAAGGGTCAATCATCACTCCTGGCGACTGCGCTTGGCCCCATGAGGGTTCCATGATCCATCGCCGACGCCCTGATTGGGAGGGAAGAAGCCCTGGTTAAAAGCTGGGTTGGGGCCCTGGAATCCACCTTGTCCTGCACTCGATCAGTATACAAGAACACATCAATACTGTTTCCTGGGTACTCACCCTGCATCCCCATATTACCCGCCATACCTCCCATCATCGGATTCATCGCCCCCGGCATCGCATTCATCCCCATGCCTCCCATCGGGTTCATCCCCGGCATTCCCATCATATTGGGTCCTGCCATGCCACCACCACGACCGCGCATGCCGCCAGGGCCACCGCGCATACCGCCCATCATCCCCCCGCGGTTATTGAAGCCACCGTAGTTCTGCATCCCCATGGGATTACCCTGGAAGCCTCCGCCCACCATCGGCCCTTGGAAGCCACCCATGGGGTTCTGGAAGTTCCGATTGCCGCCAAAGTTACCACCACCCATGCCGCCGGACATGCCGCCGCGGTTGTTGTATCCACCGCGTCCGCCGCGATAACCGCCGCCGCCGCCCATGTTGTTCATACCTCCGCCAAAGTTCATGTTCGGGTTGGGCGAGTTGAAGCCGCCGGACATCGAGCGCGCCTGGTTGTCCTTGCGCATCGGCGCATCCTTGGGCAGCGTGCGGAACGGGTTCGGTTGCGGGCTGGTGTAAGTGACCATGTGCTTGCGCGTTTGTCCGCCGGCGCTGAATGACTCGATCTTGTGTTTCGTTGCGGTGGCTGCTTGGAGGGTGGTGAATTCGAGGAATGCTTGTCTATATGTATAATAACATCACGTCAGTGGACTGGAGATGTCACCGCCACCGCTGCATCCCGCTTACCCTTTGCTTTTACCGTTCACTTTGTGTTCGCTGAACGTTACGTCCTTCAGTTCATCCTCGCAGTCGGCCTGGCACACCCAGCCGCGGATGTCGTCGTCCGTGGTCCACCAATACAAGTCCGATATGAGCAGAGCAGGAGTAGCATCAGGGTCTGTCGGGCGATCATCGTGCTCCTTGCGCTTGGTTCCCTGCTGGGGGGTGGGAGTCTCCTTGGCCGCGGATTGTGGGTTGGCGGAGCCCGCCTGGGTTACAGGGTCACTATGGGGAGCGCCGCCTTCACTGTCGGGCTTGACGGTGCCGTCGGAGGAGCCGTCGCCTTGGTGGTTGGGGTTTCCATTCTGTTGTTGTTGTTGTGTGGGTTCGGGCGCATCTAGGATAAGTTCTGTGTCATCATGTTTCATCTCATCCTCGGGCCCCTGCTCATTGGCATTGTAGCCACCGCCATCTCCATAGATGTCAATATCGAAGTTATCATCTTCGGTAGCCATGGTGTTTTAGCTTATGATCGGATATCTCTCTCAAGGGAAAACTTGATTGCTTGCTTGTGATATACAGTCCTCCTTGGATAGTGGCTCTTCTTCTTCTTTCTCTTCTCAGCTTCAGGATCGATTTGATTTTCAAGGGAAGTACATGTCTGTAGACACAGGCGGTCAATTAGCAAGGAGGGAATTCTCATCCACTGGATATTTTAGAAAAACAACAATAACAACAAAAGCAGGCTTCTGGGATCATTTCCTCCGACTCTGATGGCTGGAAATCCACGGTTTTTTGTTTTCAACACTCTGGTTTTCTTCTTTAAAGCTCACAGGGGATAAGGCACCAGGCGAAATCGATTGGCAGATTGCAATCGAAAACAAAACAGAGGAACATAAAAAAGGCTTGATGATACGTACAATCCGAAGCGAAGACAGCTTCAAAAAGAACAAACACTTGACCAGTTCGTCAATCTGATAAGCTCTGAAACGGAGATTCTGGCGCCTTGTTCCAGGACTTTTCTTTTTCTTTTTCTTTTCAGTACAGGGAAAGGGTAGTAGAATTGGGTTAAGGGAGAGAGTTGCAGGTAATTTCCACAGAAGATGCGGCGCCGATGATCAGCTGCTGCCGGGGCCGGCAGAGCGCTTGTGCTAGAGAACAGGTCCGAGAGATATGAATGAACTTCCAGAGATGAGAGAGTACAGGAAATGGAAGGAGATGAAAGAATTATGTTCCAGCAAACAACGTCGGTGAGCGCAGTTAGTTCCTAAGCTCAGCTCAGCTCAGCTCTCGCGAGACTGATGTTATTCAGGTTAGGTCAGGTCCAGTGGTTCACACGTCCGGCTGGAATCCCCTGGCTAGACTCGTCGCCGCTAACGCCGGAGGGTGGCGAAAGAAGAGGAGAGAGCGGAGAAGTGAGGAATGCAGAAGGTAAAGAAGAAAGAAGGGATAGGGCTAGGGGAAGATGATGGGGATGGGATGGAAGCGTGGGAAGACGTGTCCGAAGCCAGACTGCGGGTGGAGCGCGATGGGAAGCGGAAGCAGAAGCAAGAGACAAGAGAGAGAGGGAAGGACAGCGGCGATCTCGACCTCAACTCTCCTCCGGCCTTCTCTCGGCTTCGGTTGAACTTCCGCTCCGGACCCCAGATCGTGACGCGTCGGGATGCTGTTGTTTCGAACTCTATTAAGATCGCTAATGATTCACGAATTTTCTCTGCAGCTGTGAACTACGCTATCCGAAATGTGCAATGTCCTCTGTCTGCTGTGATGGTTCGTGGAAAGCAGTTCTGCTTCACACGCGGCCATTTGCTTCCCCGTCCGAGAGAGAAAGAAAGACCGTGCTATTCATAGCCCGGCCTAGATTGTTGACTATATGTGATCGCGTTATCGATAACCCCATCCTCGAACGAGCTAATTACATTCTATGACTATCTGCTTATCCCAGTCTCTTTGGCAATCCTCGATTATATTCAGCTAGCCAGCCAACGCCATGGCGGTCATGCAGAGAAAAAGAAAGTGGAATGCAGTTACCTGCCTGCGTATACGTCCAAATCCTCATCACCATAACTCATAATGTAACTCATCGTCCAATGCAGATCTTTGGACTGGTCGACTTCGGCTCTGCATCATCTTCTCCCTGAATAAGTTGAATTCCCGAACCGAGTTCAGTCGGCTGTCGTAGTTCCCTGCCACCGGTGGATCGCCCTCATCGCTATCCACCCCGTCATTCCAGGTATGCAGTGTGCACGTACCAGTGGACAATCCCCAACCATTCCAGGACGTTGCTACAACCTCAGATTAGCTCAATCTCATCCACTCAACCGCGATAACTTACCTGCCAAGACAGGGGAGTTCGGGTGCCAGCTGGCATCCCGAACGCATGTCTTCCACATCACATCGCTGCGACTGCTACGGATTTCATATGCAGCGGTGAAGATATCCGGATCGCGCGGCCGCGAGTTGGCCGTCGCTTGCCCTACATCAATCGTGCCTGCAAGTGTGGCATCCAGATTATATACATATACCTTACCGTCTTCACTGCCCGTATACACATATCTCGAATTGGTGCTGCCCGGAGGGGAAAAGTGGCAGCGGATGAGAGTCTTGAGCACGCGGTGACCCCGGAACGTTACTACCGAACAGTCATGGGGATGAGGTTCGTAATAGTCGTCGGGATACGGTTCAAATCGATAGTCGAAACCGGTCGTGTATCGATTAACATCAATGGTGTCGAACTTGGCTGTTGTCATCATCTTTCTCAAATCCCAGAGCTTCATCGACTGATCTTTGCCGTTGGATAGTACGTATCGCCCGTCGCCCTTGCTGTCAACATAAGTTAACCCTTCTGTATGACCCATGAACACACCGGCCTCGCGCCCGTCGCCCATCGAGCGTCGGTCCCACACGCGCAGCGTGGTATCGTCCGAGCCCGAATAAAGAATATGGGGAGATGACTTGTCGCCGAAGCAGACAGCGTTCACGTCGTCTTCGTGGTTCTGCAGCCGCAGGACGGACTGGCGCGTTTCTAAATCGTAAACAATAACCGACTGATCGGATGTGCCAGCCACGATTTCCCGACCGTCGCCCGAAAATCGAATCGACCAGATCTATACCAGTCAATTAAAATGAGACGGCCCGCTCTGAACCGGTTTGTGCATACCCCGAAATGAGAATTGCCATACAGGCCACGCCCGCCTCGCCTTCCTGCAAGCGACGATAAATCCAATATAGCCGGGTCAGACGAATCCGCTGGATCGGTAGGCGCAAGACAGACCAGATTCCGAATCGAACTGTACGCCAGGAACTTATTGTCCGGACTCAGACTGGCGTCGGTGATTGTCCACTGCCCAAACGGGTAGTCCACGGTTTTGTAATACTTCCACTCGAACGGATTGGACGTATCGTACATCCTGACCTTGAAGTCCTGAGCGCAGCAGAAGAAGAAATTCCCATCGTCCGAGAACTGTCCAGAGTAGCACCGCGAGTCGAAATGAACGATCTTATCCGCCACCGAGCCCGGAATAAGTCCCTACAACAGTCAGCCAGAGCCAAACGTATCCCCCGGCTGAATTAATCCCACCTGAGTTATCGACTGCATATCCCTCCTCTGCGGCCCCGACACATCCACCCCCAGTTCTCGCCACATGATCTTCGTCGCCAGGGCCTGTTTGCGCCTCTTCAATTTGTCCACATAGTGAGGGTTGGAACCGAAATCGCCAGAATCCATGAGCTGCGCTCCCTCTTCGCTTGGTACCTTGGGAAACTGCTGACCTCCCGATCGTCGAGCTCGTCGCCGGTATCCGAAGAACCCGAACTCGTAATCTTCTTCCTCGTCGTCCTCTACCACGTTGGCGTCATGTAATCCGTTATAATGTAAAATATGGCGTAGACCATTCGAAGCCAAAAGGTTCAGTAATCGAGCTGCGGAAACTGCTACAATGAGTGTCCAAAGCCTAAGCAACAGCAACAGCAGCAGTAAGCAACAAAAAGAATGCGGGAACACTACCTCTATTGTGCCTTCCCTCGTGACGCTCCTCACCCTGCTGCTCATGATCCGACTCATCCATGGCGAATTCAATATGTATATTACCTAGATGCAATTCCGGGTCTTTAAAAAGTGTGAGTTCTCAGAATAAAAACACCAGTAAAAGAAGAAGTAAATCCAACGCATGCAAGCCAATGTGCCAGTTGTAAAGGAGGGGTGAGTGGGAAATCCTACCGAAGCGATGATCATCAGCATCATCAATGTCTTCGTCGTCTTCATACAATTCCGCATCTAGCTCTGCTTCTTCTTCTGCCTCTATTTCATCCGGCTCATAGTCCATATCATCCTCATCCTCGTCCTCTTCCAACCATTCCCTAGCGGGATGCCATACAGTTCCAGAATCTCGGGACGGAGGAGACCCCGGTTGGGCGGGGGGCGAGCCAGACGGCGGCGGCGGAGGAGGACTAGTACTCATGATCGGCCGAAAACGTGAGGGGGGGTGGGAGTAGTAGTCGGTGAATGGGCGACTGGGATCATATCATAGCAGGCACTAGTCGGTTAGGGTCTGTCACCCGACTTCCAATAGCAAGGGAGAGCAATTAGTAGTGATAAAGGACAAGGGGAGGTGTCCGGGCTGCGTCTTCAATTGGCCGGCAATCACTGGCTCCGAAATAGTTGGAGTCGTTGCTGGCACCGCTTATCGATACCGGTCGGTTATGTCATCTCGGAGTGCGCGGGCTTGTTAACTCCTATCCCCGATGCCGGGTGCGGAGGATGACAATGGATGTCATAGTTCATTATTCAAAATGTGTATCATTATTCATATTAGCGAGTCATGAAGCTCGTGTCACATATTAAAACACACATGTAAGGGATATCAACATCAAGTCATGCGGTCGTAAGATTCGTGAATAAAGGGAATATTAAGTATACATGCAAAAATAGTCAACCGAAATAGCCTCTGCAGAGGCAATAGAGTCACTCAGTCAGGCTCTCCTCTCCCAGCCACGATCCCCTTGTGAAGAGGTTCGAAATATGCGCGGATAGGGGCTTGAAGTATTCCATCTCTTCTTCTGTTGCAGACATGACGCCGGTGATCAAGCTGGAGAATGCGTCCGCTACCACCTCTGTGCCTCGGCTGAACATCACTTCGATAGATGGGGCCGCATGGATACCTGATTCAATTACCTGGAGCTCAGTGCCTACCTTGCTAGGCTCGGAAACTTCCGCGGAAGTGTCTGTGGATAAATTCATCAATGGCTTCCTCTTCATAACAGTGGCACGCAGTATGAGAACCCCGGAGATCACTTGTAGCTTCGTTCGCAGCAGTGAATGCTTTCTCCGCGGAATTCGTCTAGCTGTGGATTGGTAACACATCCTTTCCCATGGATAGGGTAGGTAGCGCCGACTAATGGCGGACTCGGTTCGTTCCCAGGAAATGCCCTTTCCACCGATACCTAGACCGATGTTTAGCAGACTCTTCCATTGAAGGAGAATGGGGCAAGCACCCACAGTACGACAATGACACTGATTTTAGGAGGGCGGCCTCGCAGACGAGCCAAGAGACAAGCATCTGGTCGAAGAACTCTTGCACTGCACTCAGGACACAGAATGAGAGGATTTCGTACGACTGATATGTCGACTCCGCAACAGACAATATATCGAGTGTTTGTTTCAACTCCTCGGTCATCATTAGCTTACCGCTTCCATATCCATCGGCAGCTTTAATTCTTTCTCGTGGTACTTTGGTGTCCAGAGAAGGTAGCGCTTGGCAATATGAAGTGTCCAGACCTATCGGGGAGCAAGTCACTTCAAAGCCAAAAGGCGAATCCCGACTAAGAGAACCAGGGCTGCCAGAATGTACTTCCCCATCATTGGAAGCTCCCAAGCCAAGGGTATGGCCACCCGATGATTTTCGAGCTCCTAGATGATAACCTTCTTCAGTTTGTGTATGCCGATCATAATCACCGAGAGACGGAGACTCCCGAGGGTGCTCAGTTGGCGACAGGGAACAATGATCAGCCCGGAGTGGGCGCGCAAGAACACCTATATCACCTTCATCAATTACCTGCTTGCAGCTTTGTGGTTCTCCGCTTCCTTTGGGGTCTCCCTCAAAAGCATGGAGCTTGCAGCTACTGTCTGTGCACAAGTGGCACTGGAAGGAGGTTCCCTTTAGACGACGGCACTTGTCGCAATCGTCGAAAATGTGTCCACAGCCTTGACACCGCTTCTCGGAGCAATCTTCAGTCACAGGACGGAAGCTCCGCTTGGTTGTTGGATCCGTGTTACCGGAAGGCCGTGATATATGAGCATAAGCTTCGTCGCCCGGGTTGCTTATATCCGTTTCACCAGGTGTGGATGGCGGGCAATCCTCGCCGTGGGAGACCGAGTCGCAGCTTTCAGCTCTCTCTGCCATCTGCATCAGTGCCAAATGCTGGCTTGTGATATTAGATGGGGCAGGAACTTCCACCGTGTGTGGTACGTCGCTGGAGCAGCAAGACGATGATGGAGCTATATCTGAGACAGCATCAGCTTCACCGGAGGAGTAGCCTGAGGTAGACTCTTCGTCATCTCGGTCTGTAGCGCCCCTGTAGCCAGAGAAACTGTTACCATAATGGCCATTATTCTGACCGCCACCGGTCGAAGAAAAACCCCCATTGTTGCCAGGGTAGAACTGGTGTGGACCAAATTGACCGAAACCACCTCCAGAGAAGAAATTCCCACCGAAGCCAGGTCCGTTATTGTGCCCTCCTCCACGATCATCACTGCCCCGTCTACTCTGGCTTGCGCTTGAATTGGTCGAACCGACTTTCCTGACACGACAATGGTTGGCAACGCACCTGAAGTACTCCGCCCAGCAATTTACAGGCTGTAAACATAGCCCACATTGGCGTGGTGGGGTCTGTCTAATTCTTCTTCGATTTGCCTGCTCTCGAGACGCTCTAAAAAATTCATGCTTGTTCCTCATGTGCTCATAAACCTTATCCCGCCTGTTTGCTGACCAGCAGCAATTTGGATAAGCTAGGCACAGGTAGCGAAATTCAGAGTGATGTTGGTCTGAGACGTGACGCCTGAAGTTTCCTCGATCCGTATAATATTTGCGCCTTCCATTGGGGCAGAGTTTGCAGATGTAGTTGTATCCATTGTGCGGGCTGCCAGGCGAGTCAGACGAACCGGGCGAATGAGATGGATACTCTATGATATCAATCTGGTGCTGAATCATCCTGATAAGTCTGTTGTGGCTGGCATTGAGCAGGTCTTTCATTTCATAAAGATAAGCTGCATCTTGCTGTGGCAGTTTCGTTTCAACTGCAGTCGCAAGTTGTGACAGAATAGAACCGAGATGATTGGCGTGCATGCCACCCTGCGCTTGAGAGATAGTAGGGACTACCAGTGACAATGGGTTATCCTCGCCCACAGGTAGGCCCTGTATGCCATTGTTTGCCATATGCCCACCCGCCATATCGTTCATCGATCCGTCCGTGAGAAAGCTCGTGTCTAGATGCAGCCCATCAATTGGACTGATACTTCTCGAAGTCGATACTGGCGAGTGCGGAGAGGATGGAGCATAGTTCTATAAGCCAGAATGTTAGACACTAAAGCCACGAAGCTCAATGTATTCGATTATTAACTGACCGATGAGGTAGCATAGGGAACACCGGGCATTAGATGGTTCCCTTGGGGTGATTGAGGGGGAAAGATGGGCCAATTGCCCTGAAAGAAAGAATTTCTGCCGTTTCCCGTGTCATCTCCCATCGATGAAGGCTTTTGAATCCTGTCGGATTGAAAAGAAGATCAATGCAAGTCAGGGTGGAGTGGGTTGAGGATTGAAAGAAGCAAACACAGATGACAAGATGGGGTCCAGTAAGTGTAAGAAGAAATCCTCCGCTGTTTCGCTGACACGTACACAAAGATTAAAGAGAGCAGTCTTAACAAAGGAGAAAAAAAAATTTGCTTTGGAAAGCAAGCTGTAGGACTTGTAGGAATTCTTGGTTCTGCGATGAGTAGAATCCAGCAACAAAAAGAAGAGTAGCTCGGGGGGTGATATTTCCGCTCTTATATAGAGTAGGAGGGAGTCATCCATCATTACCAGGGCGAATGGGCACCCCCCGTATTGACCGTACCAGATACCAGTTTAGCAGAGCAGGTATTGTTACCTCTGAGGACTCGAGTGTTTTAGTGACGTCTGCGCGGTACTAGTCTGGGCGATGTTTGCGTTTGATTTTCTGGCAGCCTTGCCGGCCATCATCCCCAGGCACTCTGGCTGGCCGGAACGTCATCGACAACCAACAGTCCCCAAACGACCATGGAGGAGCTTGCTGCCTAAAGTTCTGGACTGAAGAATCGTGAGTAAATGCAATTTACTGGAAAGAGCAACATCCATTTGCGAATGTCGAGCTCAGTCGAGATTTCTCTCACTTTTGCAACTGCGATGGATGTTACTGATGCCGACTTCGAATCACACTGCACTGCCATTCGTCGGTCTCTAATCAGCTGCTACTTATCTACGGAGTACTACTACTTAGTTCTGGAAGGATCGCCGCTAGCAAGTTCGACATGGCTGGGGAGCTTCATACTGCTACGCAAGCTGTTACGGTAGCTACCCAAGAGATCTCGCACATCCATGCTTGCTATCATCAATCAATAGCATATGTGGATCCTAGTTCCAGAACACTATGTCTGGAACGTCTACCAACAGGAACAATATTCCGACTAGACTGGAAAGGGTAGCCTTACGCAGTCTACCGACTCGAAACGAGGATCGTGGTCTAGAATAGCCAAATCATCCACCGTGCCCAACGACAGGACATTGAAGATGATCGATTGCAAAGTGAGGCGACAGCGGTTCTGTTATGGATATATTCTCTGGATGAATAATCTCGGAGAGCGCCGATTCCCAGAGCATGATCTTGGTGGATAGCGAATTATGGATTAGCTGGGGTCGGATTATGTGTGGCTAAAGAGGAGTGGGTGAAGGGCCAGATAGAACTGAAAGGTAAGTAGGGTCTAGACTAGACAACGGGGGTTTCAGGACCCCAAGATCGGGGACTGTTCACAAGCAGCTGCGCCACAGGGGAAACTCAGTAAACTCACTTTCACCCTCCATCCACTGCTTACCCCGCTTCCTTTCCGACAAGGCTAGCGCGGTGTCCGCTCTGAATGGCACTTGAACAATTCGAGACAATAGCCACAAGGTTTGATGGCAGAAATCCAGAACGCGCCAAAACTGCGTCAATTATTTGACTTGCCTCATTCTGTTGTGAGGCCCTGACTGGACAGATGTTGAAGGGCCTCTTCACCTGTCCCCGAGTTAAGCCGATGCACAGCAATTTCCGCAGTAAGACTCGAGACAACAGCAAAGGAGCAGTGCTGCTCTTTTCCGTGGCTTAGTTAGTAAGGGATTAAGTAACGTCACACGCTACTACTCTCCCAAACACTGCCCTTCTGCAGAATCAGAGGCATCTGCATCGGTCCGTCAAGCCCAAATTGACGTAGGAGCGATGCCAGTTGTGCATTGCCCGGGTTTCTCATGGTGGCTGTACCCAGACAGCTCATCTCGTTGCGATTTACAGACAACCGAGGCACTACAAGAAACGATTTATCCTGAACTTGAGCTCCAAGCTACTAGTAATGTAGAGGTAGCAGCTTGTCCTCCAACATGTGCTCCGGACAGCGTACCTGACTATCGCCAATTACCATCTGTTCAACGCTATGTACCTTTAAAGATATGCAAAGTCTAGAATTTGCCACTCGAAAGCTACTAGTGGTTCAACGAATCAAGTCGATTGCAATGCATGAATCGGCATACGACTTCCATAGAGTTCACGGTACCTCCTATGAGTCAGTTGTCTACACTGGAAGGCAACTAAGCCACACCATCGTTTTTCCCCTACTCACTATCCTACTTTCGTCATAATGGAGGCTCTTTCTCAACCCTCTAGAAGGATACCCAACACTTGATCGACTGCTTGGGTAGCTATCTAGTGCCCCCGACCGTCTCTCTCATCTCACGTAAGATGCCGACAGAGGACATATCGGAGGGAAACACGCCAAGTTACCTCCGTTGCTTGAATTGACGGACATGTCCGTTAAAGGACCATGGTCCGATGCATTCTTTGCCCTGGCCTTAAACTCTAAGCAGAGTGGATGTCCCGTTACTTATGCAGGCAATGAGTTTCATAACAGTTGCCCGCCGTGCCCCGTCGTTCGTATGCTGCAAGTAGATGACTTCCGTTTGGGTGAATAACTAACTAAATTACATAAAATAGAATAAAATCAAATGAGTAGAAAAAAAAGAAAAAAGAAGAGAAGGATGATTCCACACTTCCCACTGCATATACTAACCCCCCCCCCCCCCCCAACAAACCAATTAACCATGATCATTTACTAATCTCCTACAGACCATTCCAGAACTGCATCCCCCTGCCTTCCCTAGTAATACTTCCTATCTAGTAATACCAAATCGTACCAGCCATACAAACCACAAACTCTATACACCAACTCTTTTAGGCATCATCTTTGCGATCTTTCCACGACAGAGTTTACGTTCCCGTACCCATTAAGTTCTAACGCTCCATACCAAGAAGTAGGGCACATCTTAGCACTCTCATTACTTCTAAGCCACCATCAAGTGAGGCATTCATTGTCTAGGAGTTGTGAGAGGTGCAGTGCTGCAGTCCGTTCTTGCACAGCCACGAATTATGAGGACTTTGGCATCGAAGGGTGTATGACATTGCACCGATGTTACAGTAGTTTCTAACAGTCAAAGGAACTGTAGCAGTGGGCCCTGTCCTTGGCTGTTTTCTTGGCTGGGTGGGGAGCGATCTGCATCGTACTGGAAGTATATCATGTACACTGTGTTGTCTGGAAATACGGGGGCTTAGAGCCTCTTGATTGATCAATGTTTGGGAAAGACACCGTCCCCGCTATGGAAAGGAGTTCGGTTCATGGGCTATTTCATTTGGAGATGGGGTCATACTTAGTACTTACACCCCAGAAATGTTATTGCAGAAGCGGCTACTGAGAAACATCACAATAAAGAAACAGACCCATCCCACATTAGTCATTTACTTCATAAGCAAACATACGCCTTGCAACTCCTCCACGTGTCATATATCTCCCACGTACCATGACTCCCTGCTTGAACGATGTAAAAGGATTAGAGAGCAACGTGATTGACAACCATAAGCACGCAGTTGATATGTAGCTGATGACAAGCTGGTGCGAAACCAGCAAAGGTATCAGGAAGCCTTCGTAGTATCCCCGATAGGTTTACCCATATACCACTGGGTAAATGTCTTGAAGGCACTGGGATTTCCGTGGCTGAAATCATACAGTTTGGTGGGGCGTATAATCAGCTCTTGACCCTGGAAAAAAGCTTCAATCACTCGAGCCTGTAAACCCATGAGCGAGAACACCAAGACCTGGAGTATGAGTCAGTACTTGCTGGCCAGTAATTAGAAGACGTAGTATTTACCGGTGAGACCATTGAATGTATGTACTTTGCTCTCCAATACTGCTTCAACATGATTCGGAGAATTGGCATCAACTCGCCAAAGAGAATTGTGGAATCCGTGGCGACCATGTTATTGTAGATGATCGCTTTAACATGTGGACAGACAGGGTCCTTCGGCTCCGCGATACTGAAGCATCCGAACTCTGGCTGCTCATCCCGGTACAGGCCTATGTTACCAAATGCTGAATCCCCAATGCTATATAGTATAGGTTAGTGAGTATACTCAGACCAAGAGTGGAATCTTTACCATTTTGGGACCCATGGGCTTCTATACCCTTCACGTTTGGCTTTCAGGTTGTAGTAGCTGATGTAGGAGTCAAGGTGCATGTCCATCACGTATGCGCGATCATAGGGACGGCTGAAAGCAGGGTCTGTTTCATCATCTACGCCGTTATAAGATCCATGAAGGTCATCGTCATTGGGCTCTGGAAAGGAGTGGTCTGAATAGGGCGCAAAATAGATCGGCTTCTCTGATGACATTTGGTCTAGCACCATAGAATCGACGTTGATACTGAGGTTCTCTAGTTGCTGCAGGTCGAACTCATCAACTGCTAGGCTCTTGATATTCAGCGCCAAGTCCCTCAATGCCACCCGTACCTGGCGACGGGCCGGAGATTCTGCAACGCGTGTCATAGTGGTGGAGAATCAAAAGGATTTTTTTTTTGATTTGTGAGATACTGAGTAGTTGATTTACATAGAGAACGATGTGTGGATGAGTGATGAAAAGGGGGATTCTGTGCTCTCTTATGTTGTTCCTCGTCTCCATGGACGTCGCAATGAAGGTGTTTCCCCTTTGGGTACAGCAACATTGGTTGCCGAGTAACCACCAATCAGCGCTCTCAAATTCACAGCATCTACTAGTAGTAGTAACCTACTCACTTACACATACGCAGTCAGTGCTGTTCAAGCTTCACATATTCAATTCAATCTACTTCTGTGTCTTCAATGCTAACTATTTACTTGATGAATGTGACTTCATTGAAGGATGTGCGTTTTACTTCACTCTATTGATCATGTCCGCCATTCAATTCGAGTACTAGCTAGCAGTACTTATTTGATACCAGCTGATGCCGCAGGAAGATGGAACATCTCTTGCATTGCTACCTTTACCCTTGTTGTTTTAAACGAAGCACAGGGTGATTCTTTCTTACCTACAAACTCATATTGTCAACGCTCACTGTCATCGAGCCCCAATAGCGTCGACCAGCGAGAAGTACTCGCAGCCAGCATACGCGTATTGGGAGTCATGCTAACAATCCCTCATTGACTATACTAATGCCTGGTCTTTCTCTGTGGCTCGAAAAGGACATTGAAAGGACTACCAGATTGTCATTCCTGAATCTGGAATAGAAGGGTATAACAAGAACGAACATAGTCACCGCAAGCCCTTCCCCTAAGTCCCCGATTTGATTTTTTCCTATACGGATTACACCTTGTCTGTTCCCTCCAAGGTTGTATAGTCTCTATTCATACTCGCTTAGGGCCCTCATTGGCTACATTCATGAAAGCATATCACGATGCCTGACCTACCACACAAGTTATCTAAAAATGCGCAAGAATGGGAGGATGCCATGGATGAAATGGAACTCACAGGCAAGACTGTACACGGTGCAGAGCTAGCCTCAGCCTCGAGAATTGAATACAAGCAGTTTCTTCTGCTTCGTGTACTGTGGGTAGGGCACCATGCAACAGATCTGCCAAAAATGCTGCCTGGCTTCAATAGATGGATTGCTAAGGCGGAGAAGATGCTAAAAGGTTACAAATCATGGGATACATACTGTCAGAGTTTCACGCGCCCAGATGCTGGAGAAGGAAACTTTTCAATTGCCCGACACTACCAGCTTGAGGTTACAAACACCAAGGATGATACTGATCCACTGTCACTTGCAACTCCTATTGCACACCGGACACGCTCCCGTTTACTGAATCGAGAGCTTGCCAAAGACTACTTGGAAACACCTTCAAAATCAACTAACATCTCCACAGTATTGAACATTGAGGAACTTCGTATTCACGATCCGCTTGATGATTCAGAAACACTGGTTCTAGAAACCCCGATCTCAGAGATCCCAGAGACTCCGAGCCCCTTCCAGGAAATCACACCCGACTCCCAGGAGCCGGACAATGTGTTATACCCTCCAACTAAGGATGAGCAGATAGTGAACTGTGCTTTAGTTATCTTCTTGAATGCGTTGACCATACCCTTCAAGCTCGCCAACAACTGGACCTTGCACAGGAAGGCTTTCAAAGCTATCTTTGATAATGCCAGTTTTGAGGCAAGAACTGACGGCTATCTGGATGACCGTCACGGAGAAGCTCAGGCCATTATCGAAGTGAAGCCTGTCAGACGATCCATGAAATCAGTTCCTATCCAAATGCAAGAGAGCGCTCAAATGGTAGCTTGGATAAAGAATGATTGTGAGAAGCTGCCAAATCCAATAGATATGAGGTATGACGCCCCTCATCTCTCAGCACCCTCTGAACCCGTCTAAAACAACACCAGATGCTGACCGGAGACATAGGCACTTTCTTGTCGCGCAGGACCGACACGAAATCTACCTGATAGTTGCTCAGTATCATGCTGACTACGTCAGGTACTTGACTGACAGTAAGCATAGCAGCCAGCGCCCATCTTTCATGACTATGCATATGTTCGGTCCTTGGGATACGCTGGAGCTATCACATATGAAAAACCTCGGACCTATTTTGCTGGCGATTACACTTCGTGCGGATGCTGAGCTGAGAAAAATCAGACCAGGCTGAAAAGGATTCTTTGTGCAGCGGATGGTACCTTATTTGCCAAGTTGTGTTTTTAAAAGTGGCCTCTGTCAATCTACGAGTGCTACTTGTAATACCAACTGTAGTAAAATTCGAATCCCATGTACCTTCTTCTCTCTCACCAATGTCATATTTTGTAGCGTGGAGGATTTCAACTTCCAGCAACTGAACACACTAGTATCTGTGTCGAACTTACAATATATAACAAATCACCGTCGTGGTGTCAATCATCTTGACTTGTCCTCTTCCCAAACCATGCGGTTCCAGGTTCATTAATGGTCATGATAACTGTCAGAGATGTTATATATATTAATCATAGTACTCAGTACGACCATCTTCAAGTTGTTCTTGTTCCATGTGTTATCGGACATAGCCCCGGACACAATTCGTGCCAGATAGTATTACTGGAATTGTGACAAAGGAGTCCTTTAGCACAATACTGTAATGTGTTGATATACACTTAGTGTGTCCGGTCTGGCCGGTCATGTGATCTCGAAGATTGTGGAGGTATGAGTATTCTACATTTACGGCATTATCTTGTTGAACAATGCTTAGCCGGGAGAGTTATACTGATAGAGGAAGATTCGTTGACGAAAGGATACGGTTTAGAGGTGGTACAAGTTTGATTCTTCTACATCGTCTTCATTGTAGAGTGTGTGGTATATACACAGGATCTCCCGCTCGCAGAAACCAATAAGCGAGTTGCTTAGTGGGGGTGGTTCTTGTGGTGGCCTGTAGAATGGTAAGTCGTGCTGCTCAATATACCAGGAGAATTTAGGGAACGTACGGAGGTGGAAGTAGTACTCCATGCTGTAGCCCAGGATCAGGATGGTACCGATGGCGTGGGCGAGGGCTATCGAGTTGCAAATGATCAGCATCTTTTGCACTGTAAGATACGATTGATAGAGTGTACTCACGAGCAGCGGAGGGGTTCTTTCCGAAGTAGCGAGCCTGGTAGCGGCCGATGATGCCGGTAGGCTTAACTTCAGGGGCAGCACCACGGGGGAGTCTGGCGTAGAAGTTCACGACACGGTCCATGCGGGCAGCATCCTTGGCAGCACCGATCGCCTTTTTGACAGTTAGTTGAGTTCAACAGGTATAACGCGCGTTTTGTTGAGTTCCCGAGGTAAAGCACGAAAGAGATTGCTCCGGGCGGTAACATCTAGGCAGGGTCGGGGAAGATGAAGGTAGGGGTTCTCACGTTGGGGGAAGCGATCTAAACGTCAATTAGCACTGAATTAAGACATATTCTTGTGGTTGTATCGGTTGTTTCTTACCTTGGGAGGGATCAAGGTCGAGAGACCGCGGCGGGCGATGTAGCTCATCTTGTAGGATCTGTGCGACCCCAAGTCAGAAAATTGTCGGATCATTGAAAAGAGAGACGCGAAATGCAGAGCGTCATTCAGGGAATAACCAACTTACCTTGACGCTAGCAGGTGAACTAGGACAATGGATAATGACGGAGAGAAGGAAGAAGTGCCAACGAGAAAGCGGGTTGTCGGAAGAGCGGTTCGACGCAGGGAGGCTCATTCAACTCGCGCTAAACCGCTTTCGGACTCGTCTGAAGGCCGGCACTCGCCGCATACCTCAACTTGCAATTGCTCTACCGCAGCACCTTGCTCTCTCCACTCATCCAAGCACAACCTCGCCATCATGTCGCTTGCTAGAGCAGGAAGATTCGCCTGCCTTCGCACGGGCAGGCTCGCCGCCCCCGTCAATGCGCGTTTTGTGTCCACAGGCACCGGTCGAGGCGACCCTTCTCGCACGTCCAGCACTTCTGATGCCCCGACTGTTCCTCACACCGAGAGCACCTTGATCCGCAAGGAGAGCCCTTCTGAGGCTATGACCCGTCATCAGCCCGATTACGATGCCACCATTGATCACGGCACCTCGTACGAAATACCCCACCTCGCGCTACAATTGGAGTGGCTAAACTGACCAATCGAAATCAGTCAATTCTCCCCTGTGCCCAAGCGCGTCATGGATGGCAGTGAGCCTGGTGCTACTGTTGCTGCCGCTGTTCTGTCCGGCGCTCCCACCGACCTGCAGGCCCGTACTGTCCGGTATGAAGCTCCTTAAACGATATTTGTCGCCTACCCGTATCAGTCGCGCTGATCAGTCATATACAGGATCTACCGTCAAGCGAAGCCCGCAACACAGTCCGGAACCTGGCACGGCCACCACTGGAGAATGGATTGGGATATCCTGCAGAGGGGTCATCGCTGGGAGAACCCCCTCATGGGCTGGCAATCCTCTGCCGATTGCATGCAGGGTACCCACCTGAACTTCAAGAGCAAGGAGGATGCCATTTTGTTCGCCCAGAAGCAGGGATACGAGTACTTCGTTCAGGAGCCGAATGAGCGTCGCTTCGTCCCCAAGGCCTACGCTAACAACTTCGTCCACGAACCGAAGAAGCTCAAGTACATCAAGACTAAATGATTTGGGTTTCTGGTGTGTCATGTACATAAGTGCAGGTCTTTGTTTGAGTTCTGGGTCGTGCTAGGTGATAAATTAACTTTCCTAAATGTTACACTTTTTCGATATTGCAAACTTTTATTGACATAACCTGGTGGATTTCCTGACTGCCAGTGTGCACCATTGAGTTCACATATCGAGTATAGCGCCAAGCGACTCCTGAGAAACTCGAACAGCATCTAGAGGATGCTTACGCTAGTTACCAGTCCATTCTAGAGAATAGCTCGCTTTGTGCCAGGTATCGCAAGAGACATTGGTAGCAAATGTCGATATCCATGCTCAGTCTTCGTTAATCCTTTATCGAGGAAAGGCGTTACAGGCCGGAAAGTTGAGGCTCTGCACTTCTCACATGCTGTGCCTTCTTTTCAGGGTACTTTATTTTCACAATTTCCATTACACTAGCAACCTAGTAATGGTCAAGGGATTAGTAGAATGAAAGTTTCTTTGGTATGCTACTCTTTACTTTAGTACGATTGGTGTTAGCCTATTGAGGAGTGACCCTTTATATATCCTACAGGCGTGCTACTGGCACTTCAGACGAGATGAACAACCGAGGGATTTGAACATCATAGAATGACCATCATCTACTACAATATTACCCATATGACGCAGTCCCTTTATGATTAGAATGATTCGATACTATGCTATGAACTGCTGCGAGTGATGATTAGTAGTAGTTGTTTTGTTTTGTTGTACTAGGGGAAATGACTACTAAATTTCTACATACAGCAACACACCTCACAACCCAAACCTCGTCCGGATAAGGCTAAATCCTCCGAAGGCACGAGGGAAGAACGGAAGTTCACCGGGTAGCAGATGAGTAGTACTACTACGTATCCAGGCATGCAGCAAGTGGATCAATCCTTTTGCCTTTTCCGCAATGACTCGAATTAGGCTTCAGCGGTCTGGAGAAAAGAGGATGGAAAATAACGGTCTGCTCGGGATTGTGCGATAAATATTTACATAAGGCAATGCCTTATGACTGTCACCTAGACTATATATATAATGAAATATTTCCTCACACTCCCACTTTCTCAAAGAAGATAAGCCTCAAAAAATTATCGTTCGATGATCACCATCCCGGCAGGAACAGATCCGGCAAAAGAGACCGAGCATAGTACTCTGTAAGAGAGATTTACAAAGCAAAAGGCGCCCAGCCACGGCGGTTTGGAACCCCGCCGCCCCCACCTAAAATTTATTATCGGGACGTGATAAGATCGAAAATTTACCTATCGTCGTTCATGCCTGAAAGGTCCCTCCTCCTCTTCTCCCCTTCTTGCCCCTCGTTTTTTCTCGCTGGATCTCGTGAAATTGTGCAAACTAGAGACACTCCTTAATCAATAATTTTTTTTTCTTTTTATCTATCATGTCTGCTGTCAACGAGAACAACCTGGAGGGGGTGAGTGAGACTGTCCTCACCCTCCGCAAGGTTATTGTCAACGAGTCCGAGCCCCTCGCGCGCCGCTTCCGGGCCCTCTTTTCCCTCAAGTACCTGGCCTGCCTGCAGCCCCCCTCTGAGGACACCCTTCCGGCTATTGAGGCCATCGCTGCTGCTTTCTCCTCCAAGTCGGCTTTGTTGAAGCATGAGCTTGCCTACTGTCTTGGTCAGACTCGTAACCCTGACGCTGTCGCGTACCTTCAGCAGGTTCTGAAGGATAAGGAGGAGGATGTTATGTGCCGTCATGAGGCCGCGGAGGCCTTGGGTGCTCTGGGTTATGAGGACAGTTTGGAGATTCTGAAGGCGCTGAAGGATGATGCGAATGAACCCGAGGTCATTAGGGAGACTTGCGACATCGCTGTGGACCGTATCGTCTGGGAGAACTCCGAAGCCAGGAAGGCTGAGAAGCTGAAGCCTAGGTATGACCTTACTTTTCTTTATTTGTCGCAGCCAAGTCATTCGGATTGCATGCTAATCAAGTGCTTCTATATGATATAGTGACTTCACCTCCATCGACCCCGCCCCGCCAATGCCCCTCGATGCCGCAGAACCCTCTATTCCCGAGTTGGAGAAGACATTGCTGGACACCAAGCTCCCTCTCTTCCAAAGATACCGTGCCATGTTTGCCCTGCGCGACCTCGCCTCGCCTCCTGATCTGCCCACCGCCGTTCAGGCCATCGATGCGCTCGCCAAGGGTCTCAAGGACCCCTCTGCGCTGTTCCGCCATGAGGTCGCATTCGTTTTCGGTCAACTCTGCCACCCCGCCTCCGTCCCTAGTCTCACCGAGTGTCTGAGCAACCAAGAAGAAGAAGGTATGGTGCGTCACGAAGCTGCCGAGGCCCTCGGTAGCTTGGGTGACGTTGATGGTGTCGAGGATACCCTGAAGAAGTTCCTGAACGACCCCGAGCAGGTTGTCCGGGACAGCATTATCGTGGCCCTTGATATGGCCGAGTTTGAGAAGAACGGAGAGATGGAGTATGCGCTGGTGCCGGACTCTGGTGCCCCTGCTGCCGTGTCTGCTTGATGAATTATGCGAACAAAAAGTCTACAATGCCGGTAAATAGTTGCTTTCATGACTCATAGATGTACAATTGAGAATTCCCCAAAAAAAACATAGACACCAGGTCTTTGCCGTTTAGTTGTTCGTCGATTCCCTGTGTAACGGAAAATTAGTATAGAGAATGGGAAAGGGAAGGGCTGGTAGATTGCATACTTGTGACCACAGACACATGTGTAAAACACCGTACTACCTTCATCTGCACTGCGCAGTTGTACGGTGGTGTAGTACATCTCTTTCCTTCCACACTTGATACAAGTATGTTGAGTGAGGGCTTCGGTTCTTCTGTCTGACGCCGTCAAGGTCTGGACCGCAGATCTTTTCGCTCTCAAAGCAGACGGGAATGCGCTCGGCTTGGACTCGGAGACAATGGTCTGGGGAACGGTGTCTGAATGGCGAGGTGAAAGGGGACAAGGTCAGTGAATGCGACTTTGCAAACTAGAATACCAACAAGGCAAACCTACCTTTATTCCTAGCTCCGCAGACATCGCAGACAAGAATCTTGGTGGGATCACCAATTGAACCCTCCAATAGAGAGCCGCAGTCAGTGCAGAAGACGAGAGTTCCGATCGCAGACATATTGAAAGATATGGGTTTGCGACAAAAAGATACCAGATCAACCGGACAATTGAAAACGAATAAATGACCCTTCACTTTTTTTTTTCTTTCCCGCCCTTGAATTTCTTTGGATGGCGGCGGAAAGAAAGGCTCCAGCACGGGCCAATTTTCGAAGGTCCAGCGCGCCATTAGTGCCGGGCGGTGAGGCGCGGCAGCGGCAAGAGAACCGTGCCTGGCATTAATTATTGCATTGGTTTGCCATGGAGATCTTTGGATGATCAGGCGTTTATCGGGGGTGGTCTCTCATTCTCCTTGCTCCCATAGCCATGTCTCTGAGGAGGGCATGTCTAAGCTACCGTCATAGATCTTCTTTCAACCCATCTTTAGCTTCCCAGTAGGGATACCCGCCGCCATGGCTCAAAACTGGCATCCGGCCGTTCAGGTCGTCATCAACGGCCATCCTCAAACGCAAGCTCATGCTCCCACCGGGCAGGCTCGCCGCTGGCAAAGGCCGTTGGCTGTGGAGGAGGCGTTGCAGTACTCTCCCATGTCCAGCTCGCCGATATTCGGTTTAGGTCAGACTGAGATAAACCCTTCATGTGAACAAAGTGAACTTTAACTAACTGATTGACTTGTCTCCTTAAGATTGCATCCTACGCCCGGACGTCGGTCGACCCCCCAATACGACCTCCATTAATCACATCCTCCAGTCCGGCCGTACAGCATTAACTCAACTCAATGGTGAAATCCAATCGGGACGGGATGAGTCGAATCGCTTGGAGACATCTCGGGAATAC